GCCGCGCAAACATAAAACCATGTCTGCATTTGTGATCGGAGAAACGACAAACAACAAGCGCTACTCTACACTGCTCAAAACTCGCCTTTGAATCATCAGTGGCAAATTCTTTAAATATGAAAACATACATACAGGCTATGAGTCAGAAGTGCCAGACTGTCCTTGCAAAGTTGTAATTGCCCCACTTTATAGAAACAGCCTTTGTGCGCAGACGGCATTTTAGGCTACTCTCCCAGGTTCAGGAAACAGTCCTCCGTAAAAAGAGCTGCACACATCTGAATATTTGGGTTGAACCGTCCTGGAACAGTGTTGCAAATACATCTTGGAAGGCCAAACAAAGTAGTTTCGCTTTCACAACGAAGCACACAGCGTCTCCACGACATGACGGCAGCGGCAACAATACTACAGTGAGAATCAAGTTACGCCTTCTTTCTTTGCGTGAACATTTGGGTGGTGTTATGCAAATCGTCCCACACAGTGACGTAGATATGTGGGGGCTTGTTTAAATGAGGAGTTTTAGGAGGGCGTGGATGAGTCTTAACTTTTATAAAGAATATCTCTTTGGGTTTGAGACTTTAGTCTTTGCAACTTTAGGTATCTTATCTATTCACAAACAGCTTGTAACACTCCAAAGAGAAAGGAACATTTTAAATTGCATCATATGACCCCTTTAAACTGTGAGGATGTCCCACCCTTCAGGAGGCGAGTGAGCCAATGAGAAAGTGTTCCTTCTGAGGGAAAGTTTACGACCCTTTGTTCTCAGGCATATGTTTTGCATATGGACTTTGATTGGATATTGATGAAGAAACTATTAAAGATTCTGGTAACACTAATACCTTCCATAGGTATCAACATATAATATAAATGAAAATTTAGACCATTAAAAATGCAGCCGAAAGATACCAAACATGGCATACCTGTGATCTCTGTTAACAATAGTATGCAATTCTAAAATGTTCATTTAAAAGAGTTCATATAAATACATAAGAAAAACACTATAAGAGGAAAAATAATGAGATGGGGAAAATTGGGTACATGTCCCTACATTTCTCAAGTGGTTATATCTAGAGGGAGATGGACTGTATTGTACAAGGGTACATTTGTCTGTTTCAAAGTGAATTTAGAGTGAAAACTCTACATTCCTTTGAGTTGTAAAACAATCTTATCTTGATGTACGTCTTTGTTACCACGGTAACCAGAGGCCTGGTTCTCCCTACCACATGTTTTACTTGTTGGGGAGGGGTATTGTCCACTATTTGTTAAATATAACAAATACTCATGTGTCTGATCCACATCAATCATTACAGTCTCGAAAGGAGGCGAATGGAACAGCAGTCTGCATGGTATTATGGTATGGAAAGTAGATGAAGAATATGGGCAATACTGCTTTTTGTGTCCCAATTGTTCATCTGTTGCTTCCAGTATTGTTAATATGGGGATGAAATGATAAGTTCCTTCTGTATTTGCATATGTAGGGTTGTTAGACATAGTTGAAAAAGATGGGCAATACCACTGTCTGCGTCCCACTTCACTGGGTCACTTCAATCTGTGGTCTCCCCAGTATTGTGGATATGAAGGTAGAAGCAATATGCTCTTTCTGTATTTGCATATGTATTATGTAGGGGCATAGCTCAAGAAGATAGGCAATACCACTTCTTGCGTCCCACTTCCTCACCTGCCACTTTTCTAAAGGGTGAATATGGAGATGGAAGTGTTACACCGTGTCCTAACTACACATGCAGCAAAGGCAGTTTTTGTCCTAACCAGCCACATCTGCGACACGCAAAGTTTCAATTTTAGAAACAGTTTCTATTTCCGCGACGTCGCGGCTGGAACAACAACATACAAACTATGACATTGCTAATCTCAGGTACTGATTACGTCTTTTATTCAATGTTAAAAGTGTCTAATGTGAGTTTGATTATCATTTTGCATGACATTTATAGCCATACTGAAAGCAACAATAGATAGTTTACCTCAGATCTTGAAAATAAATTAAAGCAAACATGTACGTTAAGACTGTGAACTCAATGCTAACCAACAAGTGTATTCCATAAAGATGGTATCAATCACTCAGTATTTACTTTTAATAATGTTAAAAATGTTTAATAATAGATGATAAACATGTCCATTTTGCTGGGAGTGCAGTGCACTTCTGAATGGCTGTAATATTTGAGTGATTCTGTCGCGTTGCGTTGTCGTGCCGCATTGCGTCGCGTCTGGTGTGGACAGCCAAATTTCTTGTCGCTGGAATCTTGTCTCGTCGCATGTAGTTAGGACACGGTGTTATGTTCCCTCTGTATTCACATTTGGGTTGGCAGACATAGCTGAGGAAGATGGACAAAACCACTGTTTGCGTCCTACTTCATGAGCTGTTGTCTCCCCAATATTGTGAATACAGAGGTAGAAGCAATATACTCTTTCTGTATTGCATGATATATATGGCGTAGATGAGGAAGATGGGCTTCTTCTTGCACCCCACTTCTCATCTGCCATTTCTTCAGTGTTGTGAATACAGAGGTAGAGGCATATGTTTTTTATGTGCAGATACAGAGGAGGAAGATGCCACTTCTCGTATCCCAGTCCTTCATCAGTTGCATTTCCAGCAGTTATGGAGGTTTGCGATTGAGCACTTTCCTTATGAGGAGAAGGTCAGGTTTTATCACACCCCCTTCATGAGGTTTCGAGGGTTGCATTAGTGCATGTCCCTATGTGATCATAGGTGAATGGGCAGTACTGAAGATGAGTTTGGGCAGTACCCGCCACTGGCGTCTCATTCCTTCTCCTGCCACCCCTCCAGCTTTGGTTCTGGAGATCATAAGGCAACATATAGGTAACTGCTAGCAAGTATTTGGATAGAGCAATTAGAGAGGGTGCCGTTGGTGCCTCTGTTCACTCTTGGGATAGGTATAGTTTGGTGGTCGGTGGGCCAACACCTTGCCTTTGGCAGTGATAGAGAGATGGAGGATGTGGAAGCTGTGTATGCGCTCCATTCTCACCACTCTCTCACTATATTTCTCAGAAAAAACTTGCATGCTTTCCTAAGAGGAGTGATGGTTGAGTGAGTCTCTTCTGGCCTTATGATGGGAAATTCTATTTATTTATTTGTTTGTTTGCATGCATGCATGCATCATGTTGCCTGTTTTGTCCCAATACCCAATAATTGCATTTATTAATTCACCAGATACTTTTCCCCAGAGCAGGTAATGGGGAATAAATAGTAAGTGTTTCATCTTAAGACACCCCTGATCTGGGAATTGAAAAAAAAAAATCACAAG